AGCCAAGCGCATTCCGATAGTCTTTATAAGCGAGGTAGTTTTCTTTATAGGGCAGAATGTAATGAATAGCAAATGTGTGAGGTCGTTGCGTCCGCGCCGCGACTGCGACACGACACCGCGACCTGAAATATTGAACCGCAGATACCAATTCTTGTTATGCTCTCTTCGTTTCCTGTAATTTGTTTGATTTTAATTTCCATAGAGTAATGTCTAATGCAGGGTTTCTAAGATTTTTATTTATATTATCATCACCTTCGTTAGTGTTAGCTTGATCTGTGCTTTAACGGAGTAAAACTCAAGTTACGTAGTTCGGAAACACATTTAATGAAGTTATCGAAAATCAGTAACGAATGCTTAAACGTAGCTGGGAAACCGGCCGTAATAGATTTATTTGTTAGTATCTATAACTTTAGCTTATTAGAAGGAAATTTTACTAATAATTCTTGTGTATGTCGTTAAAAGAATTTTAAATTTATGTAATGTTAAACTGAGAAATACATGAACTTAAATTCTGATTTCCGCGAATTAAATTAAATTATCTACATTATATCTCTAAAATCATTAGAATTGAGAACACTTTTTACAATTTAGAGCAGTATTAAATATAGCGTAAACGATAGTTTTTGAATATTTATTTATTCAACGCCAGTCCTCGTGGTTTATAGCGTGGTTACGCTTTTTAATTTTGCACATAAAAGTAGTATTTACAATAGACTTAAATTTCTGTGTATATGTTTTGTGTACACTGCAAATAAATTAAATCGGATGATTATCAGTTGAATGACGTCACCGGCTTGATAAGGATTAATCGTGTAATTAATGTATTTCCTTTTTGATAATGCATTCCTTCTTATTTGATGATTTCTGTTATTTGGCGATAAGCTAATTTTACTTGATTTGAACAGATTATTAATTGTGAATGAAAATTAATTAAAAACGGCTCAACTCACGCTTTTATCCTCCGGTGACGGCACCGACTAGTTTCGGATCCTTTTTTTAAATTTTAATAACAACAATAGCGACACTTCAACATTTTTGAACCCGTCGACATCTCCGTCGCCGAAGCACGAAGCGGTCACAACGGTCTTGGCGCCCCCCGCCCCCTCGAACCGCGCCCTCCGCGCCCTGGCCCGCAGTGAGAGGCGCGACGCGACCGCGAACAAAAGTTAAATAATACTCGCCCTGAAGAAGGATCCCCGAAGGATCCGAAACTAGTCGGTGCCGTCACCGGAGGATAAAAGCGTGAGTTGAGCCGTTTTTAATTAATTTTCGCTTAAAGTAATGTCTCACGATAGTTTGAACAATTTAATTGTGAATGATGTATTATGGAATAATAATAATAAATGTTTATTATCTCTCTCTTATGCGTTTCATGGAAGTCTTTATTTCTGTAGTAGGCTGCCCTGTGTCACAGGAGACAATCTCTTCCTCATTACTTCATTACAAATTGTTAAGTGTCTACATAAAGAAAAAAAATGCATTACAATAAGATAGCGCTTTTGAAACAGACACAAATAAAAGAAATAATAAATATAACACTATAATTAATACAGATGTATGAAACCATTTTCAAATAAAAGAATAACGTACGTATAAGTGAAGAATTATGTTTAGCCAATAAGTTTGAAATCCCTTTAACTTTATAAATGTTTTACAACGATTAAACAAACTTGTGAAAACAATTTAAACGAAAGCTAAATTTATTGTCGTTCTTACAGAATATTATCGCGTAACTTTTTAATTCGATTAATGAACTTTTCAAATAAATTTGAACAGTCTGAAGTGTTTCTTATGATGTTAATAAAAAAGTTTGTATTGTTTCATTTAAATGGACTTAGAATACGTTTAAAAGTGAGATTTATTTAATACTCTTATAAGTAGTAACAATTTTCTTAAATTGATTATTCGTTTCTTTAATATTGTTTGTAAAATAGAGTTGTTATTTGTCATACACGTAGTTATTTTCTTCAGTTATATAATTGTTTCAAAAAACTTATTAAACATTAATAAGAATTCAGTATCGAGCTATACTAATTTAACTGGTTTTGTCCTATCAGTGGATATAAATTTTTTATTCCTTCTTTGCCTTGTATGGTAACGTTATAATTAAAAGCTTTAAGTGAACGGTGGTGCAATAAAACGCGATGGCCTCTATCCCGCGCTCGCTGAAATTGCTTTTTTAAGCACCCTGTCTGTAAAATTGGCCGGACCAACCAAATAAACGTTTTGTTTACGCCATTACCGTTTTAATCACTCGTAGCTTTCATGAACGCTTTGCTTTCAATAGTAAGCGTTTTACCTTCACGATGAGCCTTAATTTATGAAAATTTATTTAAAAAAACAACGTGACATTTTTATCAGATCTCTGTAAGTGTTAAATGCCACGCCTCATTCTCCTCATTCATTCTTTCCACACGTTCTTTTTACCGTTCTCCGCTATTGTCTTATTTGATTACTATTAGTCACAACATCCTCTTTCGGAACGTTTTTCTCTCGCCGTAATATTTGAATTTACCATTCAAGTTTGTACCTATTTTGTAAACAATAATGATGGTATTGGTGATCCATGGCGTTCCTTATTTCCTGTAAAAAGTAGCAAGTTCAGGTGTAACGATAGGGGTCCCCCTATTCCTTCAAATAACTGAAGACTTAATTGTAAACATAATTCTCAAACTCAGTTTAACCCTCGAATGCATGATGATGCATTTATATATCAGTCTTTTCTTTCTTACGCAATAGACTATTTTGAAAAATCTTTTTTTCTTCTTTGCTTTTGCCTTAATCTATGTTCAATTTACTACCTGTGTCAATTTATGGTATTTGAAACGAAAAAATGTAAGAGTTATTAGACTACGACAGAAACAACCGGCGTCACGACATTTTAAGTGACTTTGTCGGTAAAAGTCAAGGCTCCGTATATGAGATGCGTCCGAACGTTTTGCGACGTGACGAGTTTACATAAAGGCGCTCGTTTATTGTGAAAACGTCAGCGTTGTCGAGGCGCTACAGGCGTGAAACATCACAATGTGTCATACAAATTTACCAAACTTTGTTGGAGGAATTGTTTCGAGGTTCGTCATCGGCTTTATGGAAATTATCACCACCGATAGTCTGCGATAGACATTTATCTAGATAAATGTTAACTGGTTACAAGGTATTTGACAACGATTTATGTCGACTTCGATTTGTGAATTGAACAAAGCATTACAACTTCGATTGACATTCCTTTGTCTTTTGTGTAATCGGTTTTGGCAATAAAGTGTTTTTCAATTTATTTGCAGTGTTTTTTTTTTTCAATACCCGAATCATCCAAATTAATTATATTAGATGTAACTAGGTTTCGCTCGCGACTCGGTTCGCGTGGGATTGAAAAAATAAACAAAACTAAATAGCCAATTGTTCTTCCAGAGTATCCACTATATATGTGCCAAATTTCATTGAAATTCGTTCAGCCGTTTAGGCCACAAACTCTAACAAACATCCATCCATCCATCCAAACTTTAGTAAGAACTATTAGTAAGATTAGTAAGATGTGTCAATGAATGCATTAAAAAAGATGTAACTAAGATGACTGTAGTTATGTCATTAAGTCATTATCCTTTTAAATGGACTTGTCATAACATTTCATATAATAGCAATTCTATAGTATGATCAAATGTCATGACAGATTTATTACTATCAAACAAAAATATCTTAACTGTAGCTAATATCAAAATTATTTAATCTTAGGCACGTGTCAGACAGATCGGACTTGTTAAGAAAACAGGTTTTCATTCACTACGTATTATCCGAATTAACTAATTATCTTAAGACACTATAGTTTTATTATATTTTCTATAAAGTACTAGCTTTTGCACGCGACTCCGTCCGCGTTAAAAATTATATATAATAATAAAGAAGTGAATAAATCGAGCCTATGTTACTTACAGATAAATAACCTTTCTAACGGTGAATTTTTTTTTAAAATCGGCCTAGCAGTTTTTGAGCCTATTCATTACAATCAAACAAACTTTCCTCTTTATAATATTAGTATAGATATTATAAAATTTTACTGAATTATATTAATTTCTATTTTTTATCATAAAACGACTTAAAATAGGTACTTCCTAATGTTATCAGGTGTCTTTGACAGAAACAAAGCCGATAAAATATTTGTACAAATTTTGGAACAAGATAAAATCGAGTAAATATCCAGGTACTTTACTTATCTATTTTATTCATAAATGTATTTTTCTAATATAAATTATAATATGTAGGATATCACTGTAAATGTTTTCCACCTGTGCTGTATTATCCGATATTATCGAATTCCTCTGTGATTAGTGGTTTAGCTATCTTACAACTTATGTTATTTAACTTAAAGCTTAAAGGTATTAAAATTATCTTCTTAACAATGTACTGATTGAAAGAAAATGTTTAACGTTATTGTTCAATAGTAAAGTAGAAATAAACTCCTTTTTACCTCTATTTGTAGAATAGACGGCTCATAAGAATGTTTTATCGTTTATGGACTCTTGTTGAATATAAATGTAGAATATTATAATGACTAATGTTTGTTTTATAACGCTAAATAACTCTTGTACTAAAATTCAAACGATTTCAGTATGCTTGTTGTAACGTGTGAATATTATACGATGTAATAATTTACTTTTAAATCTGCTATTTATGAACTATTTAGTTACGATTTTATATTTAAAAAAATATTTATATAGCAGTAATCAATTGCAATTTAAAAGATGAAATGGTAACATTGTTGCATGAGATTGAAGAAATATAAGAAAACAGTAACAATAGCGTTTTTTTCAATTATTCATAATAGAAGCTTTATAAATTTGACGCGACAACTGGCCTTAAATATTTTAGAGGGTAGACCAAATTTAGGTCACTCTATCCGCAAATACTGCAAAATATTCCAAAGACAACATTGGTATTTGCATATTCAAATTTGTCTCACATAAACCTACTTAATTGTGATTAACACTCGTTTATTTTGTTCACAGAAGGTCGACCCTGAGCTGATCTTCACGAAACAAGAGAAGATCGGCAAGGGTTCCTTCGGAGAGGTGTTCAAAGGCGTTGACAATAGGACACAGCAAGTAGTCGCTATTAAGATAATCGACCTCGAAGAAGCAGAAGATGAGATCGAGGATATACAGCAGGAGATCATGGTGCTGTCACAATGCGACAGTCCATACGTCACAAAATATTATGGATCATACTTAAAGGTAAGTTATTAATCTGATATTCCGAATGATTTAGCATGTAGCGGTGCATAAGTTAAATAAATGTGATTATGGTACTACTTAAGGTTGAGCTTGGAGATGAATCGACATTCGGTAACCTTGCGAAGTTCGAACAATAGAAATATAAACATGGAACGCACGATCTTTGTCTTTCCTATCAAAAATTCATCATTCAACTACTGACAGGTTACATCTGCAATGGTAGTTAAACTACGGGCACATTATGGAGTATTTTCCTACCGGCGCAGGCCGGCCTATGTAACGGCCATCAATCATTGTCTGAAGCCGGCATTGCGGCTGTCTATCGCCGAGCCATTTCGGAGATGAGTACCGTATATAACATTCATTTACGTCCAATAACATTAGCTCTCAAGAGTCCTCGGTACTGAAATGTTACGAAATAAGTAGTCATTGTTTATCGTTTATCGTTTAACATTTGAATATTCAATGATTAGTGGTAGATAGGGTAAGATGGATTATTTTTATGAAAATATACTGCTTCTTGCATTGATATTTTTACCCTATTTCCAAAATTGTTTGACATTATTGCATACCCTCCGTGACGTACGGAATTCCGTCGCCATTTCGCAGTGTTATTGCCCGCAACCGAGTTGGAATATCGGAAAGTGTCAACACAATAAAACGTTAGACTGTTATTGCCGACAATTTGCTGAAATTGCCGCTGTCTCTTTTGTAATTGCACCACGATAATGTTCGAGCAATTTGAATTGCAGATTAAATTTTTATTGGCACATTTATTACCACTAAAATAGTTCACCTATTGAAAAGATATGCAACGGTTATTAATAATAGAAGATAACAACGAAACGGCTGTTATCGAGATTTATTGCATTGATTGCTTTAATAATTTAAGTTCTATTTTGGTTGTAGTAGGCACGTCGAATGTATCACGTGACGCGTTCGCGTGCACCACCAGGGCGCACTAACAACTTCACCGTCACGAAGGAGTAAGGTCACAATGAGGTATAGCGACCGGTTTATTATATTCAGAAGCGTATGAACTCTCACGAAATCTGGGACACGGTTTCACAAACGTATCCGTTGTGGCTGATTCACGCTTGGATAAAGTCTCTGCAGCTTTGGAAGGACATTCTATTAATCACCAGCTCAATGCCACACTTAGCTAACGTTAATGTGGGCGTCGCCTTATATGGTCCCGAGAACAATTGCTTATTGATTATTGTGTAAATTATATTAGGCACAGATTGCTTATTGTTAAATATCTTATTGAAATATGTGTTTATAAATAAGTTTCTTTATTGGCATGTTTGTCTGGTATTAAAGTTTGTTTTCCATCAATCAGAATTTCCAATTGCGTGAGTAGTAATCGTAGTAATCGTGCTTTGACAGCATTGTAAAGTTTAAAAAACAAGGACGTGTTGTCTCGGCCGTTTCCCTTCAAATTAAGAGCGTGGTAGATCGCGTTCCATATAGAATAGAACAATAACGTCACCGCCGCCTCGCAATCGATATCTGCATTTTTATTGTTCCCTCAGTCTCACTTTATTATTAAAGGCGGCCAGCTTTTTATTTGTGCAATAAACAGAGAAAGTCCTATCAAAAAATCTTTTATTCTCTTTCGTTAATTTAATGGTTTAATTAAAATTCAAATAATGTTTTTAATTAAACTAGAATTTCAAATGTGAAATTTTATATCTGCCTGGCCGTATATAAAGTGTGTCGAAAAAGGTTTTGTAAAAAACTAAAGAGTAGTCCTTCGTGGTCAGTGCAGCTTTAGGATCTGCCAATAAGTAGGATAGAGGAATCAAGTCAAGAGAAAGATTTTTTTTTACTATAAATAATTAATGCACTACTGGTAATTGGCGGAAGTAATTATTTTTATATAATCTACGTATGCAATCGCACGTTCACTTTTCGTTATTTTCGAAGTGTTTGCATTACAAGGAAGCGCCTGCGGTGCAATAGGTTTTGACGTGTTGCATTTGTCAGTCGACGAGCCGCGTCGGCGTAGCCGTATCGCAATCTTGACACACTTTCGAATGTTGTTATGCGTACCTTGCAAAACACGATGCAATACAAACCAACGGCATCTTACAACGCTGTCAAAATGTTGGTAGTGAATTATTATTGGTATTTTAAAATTCTTCTAACATGTAATAGTTCATTCTATAAATGTTTTTGTTTTTTTATGAAGTAAGCGAAAGGAATGAAAATATGTGCTTGTGTTTCCTTATATTTGAATGCCCCCTCCCCCCACCTAGTTTTACCAATTTTGCTAATTAAAATGCTAACACAAATTTCTTTAACTAAGAAGAAACAAAGGCCGTTATTGTTTTGTTCTACAATTTTGAATATTGTCAACATTCACTGTACTACGTTTGCAGTCTACAATTAGTCACCGGCTACATTCACACGGTCGTAGGTGGCCGAGTCGTCGGAGCTAATCGCGCTTGATTTGCATAAACACCAAACAACGTGGTGTGAAAGGTGTTGACGTTTATTACTTGTGATAATTAAAAGCGTAGATTTCTCTATCTACAAGGATTTGCTTTAGAGGCTGAATAATAAACTGAAAAAATACTTACTTTTTTATGGCCTTTTTATATATTTTTGTGTAGAAAGTTTGATAGAAAACTTACTATGTTACTTTTTTTATAGAAGTAAATTACGGAACTGTATACTGAGGGTTCTTTGACTTATTTTCCGTAAAAAATTAAAGCGGTCTTCATTGAAGGAGCTCAGGTCGTCATTGACGTCAGCTCTATGAATGGATTCAAATGTGACGCGAATAAACTGCTACCTGCTTTACTTGTAGTGTCACCATGCTTGAGACGAAATGGGAACACTGTGCTTTTTATTGGGAAAAACTGTTTTAATTAAAACAATTTTGTTTATAATATTACGAAGAGATATTTTATTATTTTCATAGTAAAAGGAATTGATTCAATCTGAAATGTTTTTGTTGTATTTTATAACTGATGATTATTTGGACAACGATGTTGGTTGTTGGTTGGATGATATTGTAGGTTTTGGATTAAAATTAACCGCGCCCTAAATGTAATAGCATTATTGACTATGATGTAGTATTTGTCTTAGAAAAATTAAAAATAAAAAAATATTAGAAGTGTTGGGCCGATTCTCATTTTTATTTTATTTTTTTAATAACCATCATAGGTTTGTCCTTGATTGAGAAAAAAGTTTGGTTATCTCAGGTGAATTTTAGCAGGTAAAGGCGGATGTCAGGACGGCCATGAGAGGTGAAGGACGCCGATGACTCAGTGTTTTGTTTCGTGGGGTAAATGTCAAGAATCCATCGAATTTAGCCAGAATTAGAATAAAAAAATTTTACTCACCCTAACGTGTCTGTTCTATTACACGCAACGAGTGTAAATTTATTGATTAAAAACCGGATTTGAATGATGTTTCTCGTCATGTTTACCTGTTTCGTTTTCATTGTTATTCAGATTCTGGGTTTTCCAGTGATCAAAAGATCTGAAATGATTTGTTGCATAGTAAAATCTATTTAATGGAACACCCAAACATTTGATATCTTTTGACATCAAAGCGAAATCACTCTTTACTCGTATACTTTGGGGGTTTTATTTTTAGTAGGAGAGAAGTTACAGCCGCTAGGGTCGTACGATGACTATAAAGTTCGCAAGGTTGATAGCTATAAACGCATTATGGTTACCTTGACCCCGACAGCCCGTGGTGTCAAGGCTCGACCTATCCTAGTGGGGTTTTCACGATACCATTACACAAAAGGTGGCCCTTGAAGCGTCGTCGCCAAATAGCCAATTGTCTCGCAACGGGGGCCGGCTAAATTAGCTTTTGCTGTCTCCACAATATTAAGGGCAATGAAGCCATTCAGTTTTACTGAGAGCATTGACATTCCATTTGCTAAAGTCGAAGTACTTAATCTATTGGAAACAGTAATTAATGTAAATGGTTTACTAAACAAATACGTATTTTAATGTTATAGTTATGATTATAGGTTCAACTGTAATTATAAAAATTTGTAATGTTAATTGGGTGTACTCTTCTAAGGGAATTTTGAAATTTGTAAAATTAAAAAGAAACGACCATGTTTGTGCCTAGTTCATATCCGATTGTTCGGTTCCTGACAACTAATGCCAATTTTCCTGCCATTCCATGCAAAATGCGTTATTTGTGCTTAAATTCAGATGTTTGCTCAACATCTACATAAATGAAGATTAGTTATTATTGTTGACTTTCACAAAGTGCTCTGTAAGTTTAGGTTTGGCGTTGAATTCTATTTTGGCGCTGAGTGCTGCATTGCGGGTCGGCTGGAGAGAAGGCAGGGGGCGCGGCCTCTAACTTGGAAGGTCAAGTTCTTAAAGTTTGTAGTCCGCCTTATTGGAATCTACAGCAAGCATGCCCGTCAAATTGTCGCTCTTATTTGATTTAAACGCTCGTTTGATAAATACAAAGTCTTGGGAAATTGTTTAAAGTTTTAAACTTGGAGCCTGCTTCGAGATCTGCATTGATTCTCAAATTGTAATTGGAATTGGTGACAAACTTTTGGCGGTTTAAATTATAATCACATTTGCTTAATCAACTGTTGACAGCTACAAACGGTTCCCTGAGATTAATGGAATTTCTAATTTGAAGCGATTCAAATGGAAGCTTTAATTGATGTTCCTTTTCAAAGGAAATATTTAACAAGGATTTCATTACCGGTACATATCCTTATAAACTACATTTAGATAACTTTAGCTTTATTTAAAAATGCAATAATGTTAAAGGCGAAATTAATTCTATTTCGTTAACAATTATTTCACCGACATTTTCTGGCATATTTTAAAGTAATATGTATCTATTTATCAATATATTTAGTACTTGAAAATGATCAAGAAAAATGTTCATAAGTTTTTTGTAGCACTTATCCCTAAAAAACTGTTAATGTAGTGCTACGATCACTTCTAATGATGTAACTGTAATAATATAAACTGTAAGCCGGCGCCGGGTAATCCTGGAAT